TACACCTCAGCTCTGCTGCTCTGGAGTAATCTGAGTTTATTTATCCTTTGGTTAACTACTCATATTTCAATGTGACACAGGTCAAGAAATTAAAATAAATAAATAAAAAAATCATACATCTAGATAGAAATGGGTGAGCTCTGAAGACAGTTTCCAGCACTCAAGAGGGTGTATGCTTGTTTGAGCTGGGGGATAATCTGCCATGTGCTTCTGTTGTGAGGGAAATTTTAAGATTTTCCAGAGCCAACAGAGCAAGAAAGGTCACTGACAAGAAAGAGGGAGGGAGGGTCCAGATTCTTATTTGCTTTCATTATTTTCCTGCCCATTAACCCTCTCCAGTTTCAGATTTCCTCTTGAACTTGAGTCATGTTCTTACCATCTTTAAACCAACTTAGGGCCATGCTAAAAAAAATAATTAAAAGGCATAAATTACGAGAATAAAGTTGAATAAAGTCTTAGTATTACAAGAATAAAGTTGTATGAGACTTTTTATTTTATTTTACACCTGTTGTTAATTATTTTTTTCCACGAGTTGGATCCACTATGTGACCTGTCAATCAGTCCAGTAGGCGTGTCAGCAAATGACCAATCCGAAACTAAATGAGTCGTAATATTATCCGAACTCCAACACGATAACACAGGGTTTACCGCATTTTAACTGTGGTAAAATGAAGAATGTTTGTTAAACTTTACTGTTATTGACGCTCTTACTCAAAACGTGTTCCAGTACCGTCACCTACTGTTGTGTTTTTGTACGCTGCTTCTGGGATGCATATACGTGACGTCATTAAGTCGTGACTTTCGTTTTTGTTTCCGTTTGAAAACGGCGCTCGGTGAGAGAAACTGTGTTCGTGCGGCGCTCGTCATTCCCCAATCTGTTACGGAAGCACGATCCGTAGAGTACTTCCGGGTTGCACAGATCGCGGTTGTTTATGAATAAAAGCAGTCTTAATTTACTTAGAAAATTACATACTCTTTCTCAACCGAGCTTAATGTAGATAATTTATGCCACTCGTATTTCCCTTCAGATCGACAACGTTTATGACTAAAAACTGTCTTAATTTACTTGAAAAAGTACGTGCTCTATCTTCACCGATCTTGATGTAGCTAATTTACGCTACTCTTATTTCCGTTACAAATCATTGGTTAAGATGATATGCGACACATTAGACCTGACCCCCAGTCTGGACTGAACGAGAAAAACCCTGCAAGATACAGAATCGATTATTCCCATGGTGAAACAGCGCCGCTCAGTGGTGAAGCTGCATATCATTTAAACCATGACGTAAATATGTCAATGATTTTAACAGAAATACGAGTGGCGTAAATTAGCAACATGAAAATCGGCGGAGATACAGCACATACTTTTCTAAGTAAAATTAAAACAGTTCTTATTCAGAAACGGAATTATACCAGTACATTTTCCTTAATCTAGCATATTGAACGGCGATCCGTGTGATCTGGAAGTATTCCTTTTAGTGCATGCGCAAATGAGTTACCAGTACAGATTGGGTTTCGCAACAGAGTGGGTAACCACAGCGCTGTTAGAGGTCTTCAATAAATACGCCAGAAAGAGGCTGAAGAGATCCAGCGAGTCGCGACTCACTTATAGGAGCATTTAGCTTCGGATTGGTCATTTGTTGACACGCCTACTGGATTGATTGACAGGTTGCGTCTTGGATCCGACTCGAGAAAAAAAAAAATCTCGTTCGACTTTATTCTCGTAATTTTATGGCTTTTAATTATTTTTTTTAGCATGGCCCTAAAGCTCTGTCATACTGTCAACCCTATCAGTGATTTTTTTAGTTTTACTTAGTCCCACATGTGCACTCTTGCCTCCTCGCATACAGGCTTCCAGTGATCTGCTCTGTAAAGACAAGCTGAACTTTGACCTCCACCCCCCCTCCGTCAACTTGAAAACCTTTACCCTCTCACTGGAATCGTCTTTCTTTGTTTTCCTTAATACCTCTCCCCTCTTTTACCTCTCAGTTCATGAATCACAAAAACATCTGCACCATTGTGGTTGTTTATAAAATCTACCCAGCAACAAACCATCAGAACTTACCCAACTAACAACTATGAGCAGCAGCAGCGATTATCGACACAGTAACCCTATTATTTCAAGCTCATTTGTGGCTAAAATCATTTCAACAATTCCTGTCATTCCAGGTGACCTGCCTCCACCTCTTCTCTCTCTCATCCATCTTCTACCATCTCGACTAACGAAGTCTCTAAAGATAAGCTACTGGGTGACCTTCCTCCTCCTCACCACCACTCCCATCATCTATCCATCTTCATAGTTTGCCTAAAGATTAAATGGACTCATCAGCTCCTCTGCCATGACATTTCCATCTCGTGGCAATCTGTTTCTGATAAAACGCTGCAGAATAAAACTTTACACTTTAATCAGACTATCAAACAAAGACTAAAAGTGCTCAAATTCAAACGCCTACAGGTCCCTTGAATATGCACATTGAAGTGACTCACAGGGGTGGAAGCGCACCTCGTAACCACAGGCGCACATTCAGAAAAATGACAAGTTCCAGATGAACCAGACTCCCCCCGATCTCCAGTTGTCGTGCCCACCCAGTGAGAGAATGTGATTGGCTGTAGTGTGTGGGTGTGTATATGTGGGGAGTGTGTGTGGATGTATGCAACTCTACTCTCAGCATTCTGCCACATGTCAACAGTTGCTCTGTCATCTTGGACATACAGAGGATTACAGCCAAGCTGTTCCTGCATGCATCATTTGGACAAGTCTTCACATGACTTCAGCACAAAGATAGTGCAAATCATTTACTCAAATGAGGGTTTTTTTGGGGTTTTTTTACAATATTGTGCAACAAAAAAAATGTCCAGCCACCCTCATTTCTTTGTATTTCTCTTCCAAGGAGTCAGACCTTCTTGTAATCTTGGCATCAGTTCAGTTTTACTCCAGTCCTTCTACATGATTATTTTCAGAAATCTTTTTTTTTTTTTTTTTGTAAAGCCGCTTAACACTGGCTTATGAATCATTCAAGAACAAAAAAAAATAAAAAATCCCTCCTAATTGACAAAATAAACCAATGCGTCTCCAAAAAATGCATCTTGGCTTAATAAAAGTATTGTATTTTTATGCAATTTAGATTCAGCAGCTTGCTGCAAAAACATAACTTGTATGCCCCTTTAAAAAAAAATCCTGTTAAAGTGACCAAAAAAAGGTCAATTTGACAATCATAAATCTATAATTTTCATACAGCATTCATTTACTCGAAACATTTTTTAGTCATGCATTTAATTGTCCAGATTCATTGGATTTCAAACAAAAACACATTTTGCACACAATGTGAAAATATGCCAAGTTTTAAAAGGCCTGGGAAAAATAGAGACCCAATATCTAAAATAATTTTTAAAATTACAAGAAAGCTTGGCTCCTTTGAAGCAAACTAATAAAATAATTCATAATAAAGCTCAAAGCGATACAGTCATCCCCGACATGAGATTTGCACAATTCTCCAATTAACGAGAGCAGAGACAAAAAAAAAAAAAAGAAGAAGAAGAAGAATGAGTGACAGAAAAACTCAGCCAAGGTTGAGTTTGTTTTCTGACAACAATCTGCCGTCTCTTAGATGCAGGGCATCAGGCAGAGCTGATTTTAGCCTCTAGGACTCAAAAAGACTCGAAGAACATCTTGTGACGAAGATGACAGCAAAACAACAGCAAGCTATCACAACAAAAATTAATCCAAGCAGAGAAAACAAGCAAGCACGATGATTTAGAGAAGATCTTTACACACAGTCTGCCCTCATCTTGATTGTTTCTGAGACCATTTACCAAAACTCTGAGTGTGACAGAATAAAACAATATTTGCACATATAAAGCTATTCTATCCGCTTGGTGACAAATGCCTGGCCAGGCTTTGTAAATACTGTATACAGTAATGCCTCGCTACTTCACGGTTCGTTTATCGTGGACTCGCTCTATCTCGGTTTTTCAAAAACAAGATTGGACATGACACACAATTGGCTGACTGATGGATGAGCCGCACGATCGGCATGGAACTTGAATTTAAAATACATTTAAAAATATTTAGCACCTGCTGCACATTTGTGCAACCCATACTGCAGGATAAACTTCCTGCTACACCTGATCAATTGTGCATGCAGAAAGGAGAAGTGGGCGTGGCCAAGAGCGCTTGCAGATGGCAAAGAGCAGACGAGGCAGGGAGTTTCTCAACAGCTAAAAGTCTCCATTCTTGCTTTTCTACATCCCCACGATGTATAAAAATGCTCCACTCCTGTTCGTATCTGCTCTTCTTTTTTTTTGAAGTCTCACTTTCTCTTTAACAAAAACGCACTCGCTGCAGAAGTTGCTTCAGGGTATTTTGGTGAAGCAGCATCAGTGATTGCAATCCTGGCTCTGAAATTCTTGTTTAATTTTATGCATCAAAAAGAGTAAGAATGAAAATGTGTTGGGCGCTCCCCAGCTACCTGGCTTCACCCTGCATTTTAGAAAAGTCAAACTGGAATGGTTATGACGTTAACTACCAGCATATCGAACTAGCTCAGTCGTCAAGAAATTTAGGCTGCAACTGTTGGGCATCCTCTTTAGCTTTCAATAGGCCTTTATCTGTTTGACCACAAGATCCGTTCACACACATGCAATAAAACAAAACAAAAAAAAACCTCTTTGTTAGCACTACAAAGCACGTTCACAATGGTGTTAACCATGAGTAAGAGGAAAAGAAATGTGTGTTGTAAAAGCAAGTGTGGGGTGTGCTACATTAAAAAAAAATGTCTGACTAATGCTAGCCAAGATGCTATCTGCATCATGAGTAAATCGGGCTGATCTCATAACATCAGGAGAAACCAATCTGGGTAAGAAGGAAGTTCTCTTGAACTGTATCAGTATATCAAGATAAAAATAGAGCATGCAAGGAGAAGGGATAAATTACCACAGCTGACACCGAGTTACAGACTCAAGACAAGCTCATGAGTGAAATGACGGTTTTCTAGACTCACCTGGAGTTCGCACCATGCCACTTCCACCGTCGTCTCAGTGTCGAGTCCCTTGTACACGGTCTTAAAAGATCCTCTCCCGATCTCGATGTCGAATTTCAGGAAGCGTCCGTCTGGTGAAGTCCCTACAGCTTTTGTCTCAGCCTCCTCTATATCCTCCTGCACTCGTTTCTCAGCTTCCCTCTGCTCAGCCCGTGCTTTTGCTAGCCCCTTTCCTTCCTCGGTCTCCCTGTCTTTCTCCTCAGTCAGACTACTAACGCTCTCCTCGATCACTTGTTCAATCCCTTTCCCTTCTGTCGACGTCTGTTGCACCTCCTGAATCCCTCTGGGACGTAATGTAACATCAGGATTTTCACCTATCGTTTTGGCTGTAACATCCAATACTGTCGAGATGGGCTCTTTTATAGTTCCCTCTGCGCCATCGGCGTTGCAAGTGGTAGGAACAGCAATTGTGACGACGCTTACATCTGAATCTCCCTCAGCATTTTGCACATGCCCCAATGCAACCGCCCCACCAAAGCCAAGGTAAGGCTGTAGGCTGGTGCTTTGTAAATAGGACCCTCTTCTGTCGTCCTCCTCCTGTTCCGAATCTTGCTCCTCGGACCTACAAAGCTGCAGAGACAAGAAGTTGGGAGTTCTTTCGCAGTCTGGAGGTGAGGTGAGAATCACAGTTGCCTTGCTGGGAAGGTCCAGGGCCGTGGCGTTCGAGTCGCAAATAACACTGCGGCGAAAGAAACGGTGCTCGGCCGTTTTGGAGTCCCTCTCCATCGTGTGGCGCCGCCGTCGCACCTCCGGCTGCCCGGCAAGCTTCTCCACGACGTGCGAGTCTGAACTGGCGGAGCCATTCACATTCTTGTGGGGGGTTTGAGGTGACAGACAGGGGGAAGCAGAGGACGCAGAAGGGTGTGGGGCAATCAGTTTCACAGCTTTGCTGCTGCTGCTCTCAGACATTCTTCCCAAACGCTCAGACCACAAAAAAAGAAGCAAGTGTAGGTATAAAAAAAGATTAATCCTCAAACTATTTGCGTAAACTTTATGTGGGAGCAAACCTCAAATTGTAAACTCCTTTTCAAAATAAAAGCTCTCAAACTCTCAAACAAAAGGCAGTAAAAAAAAAAAAAAGAAATGAATGCAGCAACCCTTGTTCTGTTTTGATCAGCTCGGTTTCCTTTGTGCAATGTCAGCTGTTTTAACAAGACAAGCTACAGTTTCTAAAGGCCCCTTCCATACGAAGCTTGAGGTGGCCCCAGGTGAGAGGAAGGGGCTTAAAGATTAAGGGGGGGAGGGATGAAAGGCAGTCCAACATGAAGCGTTGCAAGCACTGCAAAGAGTCTCCACGGGTCAGATCAACACTCAGATCCATCCTGCTGCCAACATCCATACAGGGACAACTGCAACATGGAAGGACTGGAGATTGGTCAGACCAGTATGGCCTCCTAGAAATCTGCGATTTGAGGTTACAGCCTGATAAGGTCTCGTCTAGGCCTGTTCTGCCTGTTGAGCTCCCTGAAGAGGTGGCTGGCCTGTCTGGTCAGACCAGACAGAGGACTAGGCTGGCCTAGCCTGGCCCTGCTTGGTCTGCTTGAGTCCTTGTCACTGGAAATAAGAGGGAAAAAGACAAACCGTTAATTTTTTCTTATATTTCCATTAAATATAAAAATCATCAGGAGTCTAGAACTGATCCAACTCAAAGAAAACAAATGGATACTTGACTCAGAGCCAAAATGGTTGAACATGCCATACCTCCAACCATGTTACTTTGGTATGATTAACACAAGGTGGTGCATACATTTCACAAATCTGAGATTACAAGTTCCCTCGACTGGATGTTTCTTCCATAAATCACGCGTTTGCATTACGATTTGTCATCTTGTGCTTTTTAAATGAAACTACATCCAGCCCTTGTTTACTTAATGCAGCGGAGTGATGTACGCCTAATTGCTCCACGTTTTAAATTTAGCCCAGAGACACAGCAGCCTGGCTGACCTCAAGGTTAGGCTACTCTGGAGCTTAGCATGAGAGAGGAGGGGGGTGCTCAGAGCGACACAGAGAGAATTACTGCACAGATACTAAATGCATAGGCGAGGACAGCGCTCGGAACATTACTCAGCATATTGAATTACAGGCAACAGGAGTGGTAAGAAACATGCTTACTGAATTTGTCTTACATAACAGCCTGCAGATAACTTTTAGTCTTATCGTCACCGGCACAGAACAGCAGCTGCTTTGGAGGGTAGCGTTTGAAATCATTGGAGATAAATGTTTACAGCGTCTTTTTTTTTTTTTTAAACACAGATTTTATTTTGTTTGGTCATCGATGGGATTTCTTCATTAAAAAAAAAACACACTTCAAATACATCAGGGATTAAATTAATCAGCGTTATCGCAAATTATTCATATGTCATTCAATCTAGCTTGTACGTCAGAATGTTATATGGAAGAACATGCTATGAAAAGTGCAAAAAAAATAAATAGTTTTAGGGCTGCAAAGCATAAAACGGATAGTCTAGAGGACACTTTGAAGTTTTGAGTTAAAAGTTTTCATTAATTTGCCATTAACAACCGCATTTCTACCACTTTTGTTCAGGAAGATGAAAGGTGAGAGCTGAAGAGGCCCCCCGTCGCTTCTTGAGGTCAGCAGGTACAATCTGACCGCTTGTTTGCATTTTCTTGTGCAGCCATGTGTGCCGTGCTGTTATACGTGTAACACAGGTTTTGAAATTAGCGTGGCATAACAACACAGATTGTGCAGGCTGTCCTTGAGGGCAAGCGAGGCAATTTATTCAAGCAGATGTCTCGAATCCCAGGTGCACACTCCTCTCTTGTGAATGACTCCACAACTACAATGAGATGCCACAGGCTGAAGAGATGGACGACTTTAAGAATGACAGAGCTATTCTCAATGAAGCGTGTCTCAAAACGAACCTGGTGTCCGATTCATCTGCGCATCAGGGTTAAACGGCAGCACATGGATGCAGCTTAGTTTAAATGTTGGCCAGCATCGCACTCGAATCGCACACCCAAACACATACGACTCCATGCTGAAACTTTGACATGCAGCTACAAAGATATATCATATTTTATGGTGATTTCACAAGAAGAGTTGCAAGCTGTAATGAGGTTTGTGTTTATATGGGGGCCTCAGTAAAGTCTTCAGGGCAGCCAGTTCAGCAATCTGACATTTAAATGCACCACTTCTCATATGTCTATTTTAAAGCCTTGGTGCAATAATCTGTTTCTAAAAGAGAATAGTTGTCTATTATGACTAATAAACAATTCTGCATGGGAATTTATAGTCAGAAAAATAAACTTGGAGCATTATATAATAGATTTGCTGAATGGTTTGATTGCACAAGTGAAACCAGATAGTCACAATCAGCTTCTGGCTGGTAATACAATGAAATAACACCAGTACAGAAAAGATAAAAGTTTTTGTGCACGATAAAACAACAGTTCATAAAGTTTGTTCAAGGGCTTAAACAGCAAAAGGAGGCAATAACTAATAAAAATAAGCAAGATGAGTTGGAGGGAATGTCAGCCTTGAAATGTGTGAAAAGATTCAGCTGCTCTGAAGAGATGCTCACACACACATAAACACGCACGCACGCTCACACACGCGGAAAATGTCGTGAACAGTGTGCAGTCGGTCGCTCTGTGTGGGGTTCACTGCCCGTGAAGGAACTCAGTAAAATGGAGGTTTCGTTGCTAACTTTACCAACCAACCAGTCACGACGTGCTAAAACAACGGAATAAAACAAAACCGAACCATTACCTCTCACATTGGTGTCGGTTCTGTTGGTACAGTTGGACTATGGAGGCAAAAACTTGACAAAAAGGAGCTTCTGCAGCGCGCTCTCTCTCTCTCTCTCTGGAGAGCTTATGGTGCGTCACATTAAAGCCACAGTTGGTTGCTGAACAAAATACTAAAAAAATAAAAATAAAAAAGGCAAATTACAAGACACCTAACTTAGCCGCAACCTCTCTTTAAGGTCCTGGATACAAAGCAGAGAGCGGTCCGTGCTCGAGCTACAAGCCGTCAGACAGACACCTCCCACCGCACAGAGATGCCAAGTTCACGCGCTGATGTCGCGGCGGCTCCGGTATTACTTTCTGCCCGTTTCTGTGTCGTCCGTGTCCAGACCCAGCTATCCACACAGATATTTAGTCCGTTAAATGTAATAAGTCCGCTGTGAAGAAGTGATATTCTCTGTTGTAAAGCTTCCAGACAGCGGCTCCGACCGCTCTGGGGCTCTTCTCTGGCGATTATTCGTCAAAGCGACGGCTGCGTTTTCACACAGCAGAGCCGCGTCAACTGCCCGGCGATGACCCGGATGATGGCGGAAGCGCGCTACCCTTTCGAAATAAAATAAAATCCTAATTTGTCATTCAAGACTAACCTTAGAACTGCACTTTAGTTCATGTAGGGAAGAACAAGTGGTGCTCGGTGCACGTTTTAAGTCAAATTTTGATTAAGCAAATGAAAGTGATTAATTTGCACATTGTTTAAACGCTGATATTACAAGGTACATTGCAACAAAATTGTTGTTGTAATTTTATTTTGACAAGTCAAACCGGAAACGGTGTTGTTTAGCATTATTGCGCTACCCAGCAGCACTAGCTTGGACCAATAAAAGTCCTACATCATGGTTTATTTCACCAGATTGTCCTCCAACTTTTATTAATTTATATTTTAATTTATATTTTATTCTTGTGTGACTGATACTTGTTGCATCTGTTTTGTATGAATTACTGTGGACCGTCATAATTTAAAAACAAAACAAAATTCCTAAAGATTTCTTAATCACTTCACAGTTAGTTGATGGGGTTGGGGCTGTGTATATTTGACAAACCAAGTCCTAACATTTTAACCCCTCATTTGGGCACAAAAGAGACTACTTCACAAAACAAAACATTCTTTTATCATAGTTTTTATTAAGATGTTTCATATAATGCCAATCCCAGTAAAGTTGGCACAAATCCTCTGTTTTTCTGTGTGTAATAGTTTTTTTAAAACAAACTTTACAACATTTTTTTTTTTATCTTCAATGTGTTTGTCAAAATCAAATTTTTACTCACTGTGTCTTTTTGTATTCATATGTAGTTTTGCTGACCTGTGGGCTGTAAATTGTGTGTGACTCAGCTGTGCAGCCACTACTATCAAGTAAAGTTGTTATCTAAGCCTGCAGTGTTTACAGAAGGATGATTTGCTCAGTGTTGCTGCAACACAAACTGCTACTGAAATGATAAAGAGTTGCAAACAATGTTTTCATATCTGAGATGCCGCTCTGCTGCGTGCTGAGTGAGCCAAGACATAAACTGGGTTATGACCTTGTTGTTTCAGGTCCTAGCATCTCCACTGAGGTAGCAGGGGAGCGCAAATGAGTCATTTTGTTTCATTATATTACAAATCATTCAACTGGCTCCTGGATTTTCATCTGAAAATGAGAGTTGTGATTTGTGTGACACGGTGGATTAAAGTTCTTCGCTGGGCACGTACATGTTGAACGTAATTATTCTGCACCTTCCTTGAGGCACTGAAGCCATACTGTATGACGTTTCACAACAAGGAGCAAGTTCTGACTGAAACTGCCTGAGAATTACCATGAAACCCAGCAGGGAATGTGGTGAAGGCCTCAACATTCAGTCTGACCAAATGATGCAACACTGTTTTTGTTGTGATCTCTGTGGTCGATTTAACAAAGCAAGGGTAAAACTGTGACAATCTCAAGACGTTTCCGATGAATTTATTGAAAAACACAAAAATGAAAGTAATTCAGAGCTCAGTGGAACTTGTAAACAAGCAAAAGTCTTTAAGACTAAATCAACAAACATGTCAGTTCTAACCTTTGTCCTTATCTGTTAGTTAACAGTCCAGATCCGCTTGAAGTACTGTAATACATTACTGATGGCACATTTACCTTGACTGCACCGGTAGTCTAGAGCTGGGGTAAAGATGCAAGTACTGATCAGTGCTCTTTGTATTGGACGCTGAAATGAATCAAAGTGGGACTGCGTTTAGATCAAATGTCAGTCACCAGAGGATTATAGCTTAAAAAATAAAGTAAATCATCGCAGCGTAACTTTAAACTTAAAATTGCCCAAATGCTTCAAAACAAACACGAGAGGAGCGTTTTCCATCTCTCCCCTAAAATTTAATATTTCGAGACAACCTGTACGTCCTATTCTGTGCATTTGACCTTTTAAAGCGTTGCGTGTTATTTTATTAATCATCTTAAACTCTGTTTTCACACCAAATCACCTTGTAAGGTTTTGGTCTTAGCTTGCTTTCAGAGTAAAAAAAATGGTGAATTGAGTTCTTAGTTTGCAGGTGGGAACTTGTAGAGCATTTGAAGCACATCG